GAGCAATCATGGGTTCTTTTGTGATTTTTCGGAGTGCTGCTTGTGTCTGACAGGGGATCCGAGAGTTTCCCAGGCTCCATCCTGTATTTTTGTTGATTGTTAGCTTGCAGATAAATCTTTGGAAACAATATTTTATTTCTGTTAAAAAAAATAGAAATGAAGAATAATATTTCCTTTTGAGAAAGGTACAGAATCACAGGCTAGTCCTCTTGGAAGGGACCATGAAGTTCTTCCAGTCTGACCCTCTGCAGTACACCCCAGAGAAAACATCCACTGATTTTGTGTCCCCCCCCACATCTCTCAGATGCAACCTGTTCCTGCTGTTCATTGTCTCTACCCTTCCCTCCTCCTTGGTTCTTGTCCGACAAAGTGAAACAGAAGCTCTGAAACTAGAGGTAGTCCTCAATTTATGAATACAGTTGGGGCTGCAATCTTGGCTGTTCAGTAAAGCAGTAGTCATGTGAGAGGCCACGTGGCCACTTCACTCCCCAAAGGTAATCCCACAGTCCTGGTTGAGGTTATGAAGTGGTCTTGAGCATTCTTAAGCGGAGGGGGGAGCCCCAGCCAATGGCTGTGGGGGTTTCTCAGGGCTGGGGATGGCCTGGAGATGAGGCACAGGCCACCCATGAATTGGGGGGCTATTGAAGTGGGATTCAAAGGTGCAGCCATTCCTGGAAGCCTGACCACCCAAGCTCAGGCGTGCAAAGCAGGCCTGATTGACAACAGTACTGCAGCTGGGCCTTAAATGGAGGTTCAGCCAGCTCCGACTGACTCCAGGCCTGGATTTCAGCCCAGCACTATCCTGACATTGAGAAACGGGGGCTTAATCCCCAGACTGGAGGCCTTGGCAGTCTTGAGTTATTCTCCAAGCCGCATGCTTCATACTGTTGCTAAACAATGTGTCCCAAAGCATCTCCAGGACCCCCTCAAGTCGCACGTGGCCTGTGCCAGGACTCACAGGGCCTCTCCTGCCCACTTCAGACACCCTTATCTGGAACTTCGTCTACTTGTGAAGTAGCTTAACAACCACAAAAATGAATGCAGGATTGCAGTCGTTGAGCAATGGGGTCATAGGATATCTCACTTAATGAAAACTTCTCTCAGAGGCTGAGATTGCAGACTGAATTGTGGTCATAATAGGAGGAGTACCTAGAGGGAACCCCCCAAAATTAAGGCATTGCATAAGGAAGAGAAGAGGCACCATGGACCAGTGCCATGTAGAGAGGTTATTCTGTGGACCAGAGGGGTATGGTTTTGGGTGTTACCTCCATCCCACAGACAGGGCTTTGTTTGTTTGTGCAGCCCAGTTTCTGGCATTCTGCAGCCTGTGCCAACCCACAGAGCGGGGGTTGGGAAACCCTGGGGTAAGTCTTTGCAACCTATTTTATAGATTTTATAAGATACTACAAAAAGGGGGAATATGGATGCAGAAAATTAGGGACCAATGAATACTTGGGAAGATCCTGGAAAAAATAATCAAGCAAGGAATCTGTGAACATTTAGAAACCAGCAAGGCTCTTACCAGAAGCCAACATGGGTCTGTCAAAAGCAGATCGCGCCAGACAAATCTTACTGTATTCTTTGACAAAGTGACTAAAATAGTGAACAGCATGACTCTGAAGGCATATTATACCTTGACTTCAGTAAGGCGTGTGACCAAGTAGGCCAGAAACCACTTCTTCATAAGATAAAAAAATGTTGGATAGACAGCATCACTAGATGGATTCAGAACTTGTTGACCAAGAGCACTCAACTTGTAGACCTTAACAGAATTACCTTATGCCTTATGCAAACCCCAATTTTTCTACATTGCTGTTTTCTCAAATAAAGATTTAAAAAATGTATGATTATTCTCCAAACCAAGACTTAATCAATATTTGTTTACTCACCATTATAGTTGCAGCTAAGAGGTCTCTAGGTCACTTGTTCCACCTCTGAGTCAAGGCCAGGAATGACCCTCACTGCTGATCAGTTTTTCTCCTTAATCGATTGGCCCTTTGTGCAGGAAGCTGCTTCTCCAACTGGGCCACGATTTCCAAATTCTCTAGAATGGAGTCCTGGCCAAACATTTGTGGGTCTCGATCCAAGAACGTTCTTTCTCCTCTGCAGAGCTCACAGCCACATCCTCACTGGTCTCCTGCAAAGAGAAAGGAAAAAGGCTCAGATGCCGACAGTAATGCTGAACATAATCTATAAATGACCTGGAGTTGGGAAGAGAAAATAGGATTATTTGTTACTGATGCAAAATAATGGGGATAAAATCCTGATTGAAGAGCTTGATAGGCCAAAATAGAAGAAACCAGCAAGATGAAGTCCAACAAGGACGGATGCAGAGCTGTGAGTAGGAAAACTCAAAGGAAGATGAGAGAGAGAGATCAGATGGGGCACAGCATTTTCCCTGCTCTTTTGGGAGGCTTAAAGGCCACAAACATTCCAGATAGGCGTTTTGAAAAACATTTACAATTGTGAAAGGCAGCCTTTTAGCCATCAGCTTATTTTATTATCTACTCACAAGAACAGCCCCCAAACTCTCTTTATACTTTCTAAAACATCCATCAAGGGGCTGCCACATCACAGCGTTTTTTGGGCGAAACAAGAAAAATATAAAGTTTACACATTCAACTCCTTTTTTTAAAGCAGAAGCAAAATATACATTAGCATCAAGACAAGAGATTCATTTTGCTTCCCTTTTACACTGAGAACAAAGAAATAGTATCTGTTGGGGATGAAGAGAACATGAGCTCAATTCAGTTGATTTTTAGACCTTTTCTTTCCGCCAAACCCTCCCCGTTGCAATCAGGTCCCTCTGTGTTAATAGCACGTTACAAATCTCAATAAGCATTTGAAAGCTCCCTTTACTCCATTTTTGCCCCTGCACGTGCTGAATTTGCATGCTCAGAGACGGACCACAATAAGAAATGACGGACCACAATGAGAACCTCTTGAGAAAGAAAGGTCCTTCCCGGAACCATCGGGAGCCTTGGGCGGGGGAATCCAGCGCCGATCCTGCACGGGGAATACCCCAAAGAGATCCAGCGCCGATCCTCCCAGGGCAAAGAGGGACACGGGGAGGGAAGCGGAAATCCAAGAAGGGGGAGGGGAGGGGGCGGAGTTTCTGCGCTCGGGTTCCGCCCCCGCCTTGCAGCCCCGCCCCTTGGCAGCCTCCGCTCCCTTTCCACCCTCCCGGCCTCCCCCCCCTCTTAATCTGCCTTCCCAGCCGCGACCACGTCCTCCGAAACCTCCTTTGATCCTCCGATGGGCGTTGGTGTCGCGGGTTCCTCTGCCCATGGGCAGAGTGTCCTCTGTGCAAGCTGAAAGAGTGGCTGCCCCTCCTGCTCCAGTGTGTCTGTGTGTTTGTATGCGGCCCTAACCCTTTTTTATACCTGCTGAAAGATTTCCGCCTAACTGGATAGTAAAATATTTAATTTCACTCCCAGGAGCTTTTAATTCAGATGCCTTCTGAACGCCTTACAGCAGGGGTCTTCAAGCTTGGCCCTTTTATGAGTTGGGGACTTCAACTCCCAGAATTCTTCAGCCAGTCTGCCTATCTGAGGGATTCTGGGAGTGGAAGTCCACAAGTCATAAAAGGGCCAAGCTTGAAGACCCCTGTAAGACTGGGGTCTCTAAAAGCCTGTACTGCAGAGATTCCCTGACCCTCCATCCTGAGAGTTTAAATTGGGTGGGACCCCTGAGCATGGATGGGTGTTCTCACATTCTCCTTGTTGCCCATCTCCCAATCCCCTGAGCCCACTAGGCCAGGGGTAGGCCACCTTGGCTCTTTTATGACTCGTGGACTTCAACTCCCAGAATTCCTGAGCCAGCGTGGCTCAGCTTGGAAACCTCTCCCTTTCCCCTCAGCATGGCTGGCTCAGGAATTCTGGGAGTTGAAGTCCCCAAGTTGGAAGACCCCTGCTGTAAGGCGCTAAGAAGGCATCTGAATTAAAAGCTCCTGGGAGTGAAATTAAATATTTATTGTCCAGTTAGGAGGAAACGGCAATCAACACCTTCCTAGGACATGCAGCAAGGCCTAGTGGTTAAGGCCCCGGGTTAGAAAGCTCACAGGAGACCGTGAATTCCAGTCCCACCTTGGGCGGGTCACTCTCTCAGCCTAACCCACCTCACAGGGTTGTTGTGAGGAAAACAGGAGGAGGAAGAAATGGGATACGTTCCCTGATTTGAATTATTTGTAAAAACAATAAAAGTGGATATAACTACAAATTAAAAAAATTGAAATGATTTCCATTTTGCAGTGGCTTAAGAGGCTTGCTTCCCTGTTGCATTCGTATTGGCTCTATGGGAACAAGCGCGAGATCTGGGCTGCTCCCCCAAACTCTCTTCTTTCCTGTCCGGTGGGCTCTGGGGATTGGCAGGTGACCAATAAGGAGAACCTAAGAAAACCCATCCATGCTCAGGGGCCCCACCCAACTTAAACTCTGAGGATGGAGGCTATTAGAGATCGCTGTAAGACAGAGGTCTTCAAACTTGGCCCTTTCGTGACTTGGAGACTTCAACTCCCAGAATCCCTCAGGTAGGGACGCTGGCTGAAGATCTCTGGGAGTTGAAGTCCCCAAATCATAAAAGGGCCAAGTTTGAAGACCCCTGCTGTAAGGCCTTAAGGCATCTGAAATAAAAGCTCCTGGGAGTGAAATTAAATATTTATTATTAAATTAGGCGGAAACAGCAATCCAATTTTTCAGCAGGTATTAAAAAAGTGAACTGTACATTTCTGCCAGTTACTGGAACTCTGAACGGAGTTCCTAAAACAGAAAAAAAAAAGGATCACTTTTGACACCTGTCTGGCCTCATACAAGCGCACAGACACACTGGAGCAGGAGGGGCAGCCCCTCTTTCAGCTTACACAGAGGACACTCTGCCCATGGGCAGAGGAACCCTCGACACGGACGCCCATCGGAGGATCAGAGGAGGTTTCTGAGCACGTGGTTGGCTGGGAACGCAGAATAGAGGGGAGGGGAGCAGAGCGGAGGCTGCCAAGGGGCGGGGCTGCCAGGCGGGGGAGGAGCCCTAGAGGACGTAGAAGCTCCGCCCCCGCCTCTCCCCTCCCACTCGCTGGATTTTCGCTTCCCTCCGTGTGTCCCGCTTCGCCCTGGGAGGATCGGCGCTGGATCCCCCGTCCAAGGCTCCCCCGTGGGGCTCCGCGTGGTTCCGGGAAGGACCTTTCTTTCTCCAGAGGTTCTCATTTTGGTCCGTCAGAGCACAAGGTCTCTGAGCATGCAAACTCAGCAGGGGCAAAAACGGAGTAAAGGGAGCTTTCAAATGCTTATTGAGATTTGTAACGTGCTATTAACACAGAGGGACCTGATTGCAACGGGGAGGGTTTGGCGGAAAGAAAAGGTCTAAAAATCAACTGAATTGAGCTCATGTTCTCTTCATCCCCAACAGATGCTATTTCTTTGTTCTCAGTGCAAAAGGGAAACAAAATGAATCTCTTGCTTTGATGCTAATGTTTATTTTGCTTCTGCTTTAAAAAAAGGAGTCGGATTTGTAAACTTTATATTTTTCTTGTTTCGCCCAAAAAACGCTGTGATGTGGCAGCCCCTTGGTGGATGTTTTAGAAAGTATAAAGAAAGTTTGGGGGCTGTTCTTGTGAGCAGATAATAAAATAAGCTGATGGCTAAAAGGCTGCCTTTCACAATTGTAAATGTTTTTCAAAACGCCTATCTGGAATTTTTATGGCCTTCAAGCCTCCCAAAAGAGCAGAGAAAATGCCCTGCGCCATCTGATCTCTCTCTCTCATCTTTGAGTTTTCCTACTCACAGCTCTGCATCCGTCCTTGTTGGACTTCATCTTGCTGGTTTCTTCTATTTTGGCCTAACAAACTCTGCAATCAGGATTTTATCCCCATTATTTTGCATCAGTAACAAATAATCCTATTTTCTCTTCCCAACTCCAGGTCATTTATAGATTATGTTCAGCATTACTGTCTGCATCTGAGCCTTTTTCCTTTCTCTTTGCAGGAGACCAGTGAGGATGTGGCCGTGAGCTCTGCAGATGAGAAAGGGCATCCTTGGATCGGGACACACAAATCTTTGGCCAGGACTCCCTTCTAGAGAATTTGGAAATCGTGGCCCAGTTGGAGAAGCAGCTTCCTGCACAAAGGGCCAATCGATTAAGGAGAAAAACAGATCAGCAGTGAGAGTCATTCCTGGCCTTGAGTCCAAGGCATAACAAGTGACCTAGAGACCTCTTAGCTGCAACTATAACAGTGAGTAAAATGTTGGCTAACTCTTGGTTTGGAGAATAATTATATATATATATTTAAATGTTTATTTGAGAAAACAGCAATGTAGAAAAATTGGGGTTTGCTCCCAACGTGCTGGATGAAGGCATAAGGTAATTCTGTTAAGGTCTACAAGTTGAGTGTTCTTGGTCAGCAAGTTCTGAATCCATCTAGTGATGCTGTCTATCCAGCATTTTTTTATCTTATGAAGAAATGGTTTCTGGCCTACTTGGTCACACGCCTTACTGAAGTCAAGGTATAATATGCCTTCAGAGTTACGCTGTTCACTATTTTAGTCAATTTGTCAAAGAATACAGTAAGTTTTGTCTGGCGCGATCTGCTTTTGACAGACCCATGTTGGCTTCTGGTAAGAGCCTTGCTGGTTTCTAAATGTTCACAGATTCCTTGCTTGATTATTTTTTCCAGGATCTTCCCAAGTATTAATGTCAGGCTCATTGGTCTATAATTTTCCTCATCCATTTCCCCCCTTTTTGTAGTATAAAATCTATAAAATGGGTCGCAAAGAAGTGAAGATCAAGACATCATGATGTAAAAATCAGAAAAAGAAAGAAAAGGGAATAAGAAATGGGTTGCTTACCCCAGGGTTTCCCAGCCCCCAGTCTGTGCGCTGGCACAGGCCACAGGATGCCAGAAACTGGGCCGCACAAACAAGCAAAGCCCTGTCTGCGGGATGGAGGTAACACCCAAAACCATACCCCTCTGGGCCACGGAATAAGCTCTCTCCACACCACTAGTCCATGGTGCCTCTTCTTTTCCTTATGCAATGCCTTAATTTTGGGGGATTCCCTCTAGGTCAGACGTCAAACACAAGGCCCGGGGGCCGGATACGGCCCGCAAAGTGGTTTCATGGGGCCCACAAAGCCATCCTGGGAACAGTGAGGGAACGGCCCCCTCTGCCCTGGCCCAGGCCGGCCAGGAGCCAATGTACAATTTTGTGGTGGCCATCTATGCTGAAACGCATTCAGTCTTAGCTCCACAAGGCCGTCTGGAAACAGCGAGGAACCAGCCCCTGCTGTGTTGGCCCCGTCTCCTGGGTGCATGCTGGGGAGGTGTCACCCTTTGTGAGGCATGAAGAAATGCACCATTGCCTAGAAGTGGCCAGCAAATGGCCCTCGCCTACTTCACATAGCCGGCTTGATGGGCTCTGCCCTGGTCCCACCCCTTTCTGCCAGAGACCCTCAGATCTGTCCCACTCCTGCCCAGGCCCCCCACAGGGCACCCTTGAAGCGAATGATGTAGAGCTAGCCAGGGCCACCCAGTAGGCCACACCCATTCCATCCACGCCCATCCAGTAGGCTGCACCCACCCTGGCCACAAACCCCCAGCCCCCCCCCCCCCCAGGGCAACTGCAATGCTGATGTGGTCCTGAGTGAAATTTGAAATCCCTGCTCTAGGTACTCCTCTTATTATGACCACAATCCAGTCCGGAATCTCAGCCTCTGAGAGAAGCTTTCATTAAGTGAGATATCCAATGACTGCTTTGCTCAACGACTGCAATCCTGCATTCATTTTTGTGGTTGTTAAGCTATTTCACAAGTAGACAAAGTTCCAGATAAGGGTTGTCTGAAATGGGCAGGAGAGGCTCTGTGAGTCCTGGCACAGGCCACGTGTGACTTGAGGTCCTGGAAAAGCTCCGACATCCTTTGGGACACGTTGCTTAGCAACAGTATGGAACATGCAGCTTGGAGAATGGCCCAAGGTTGCCGAGGCCTCCAGTCTGGGGACTAAGCCCCCGTTTCTCAGTGACAGGGTAGTGCTGGGCTGAAGTCCAGGCCTGGAGCTGGCTGAACCTGCTGAAGGCCCCAGGCTTCCATTTAAGGCCCAGCTCCAGCATTGTTATCAATCAGGCCTGCTTTGCATGCCCAAGCCTGGGGGGTCAGGCTTCCAGGAATGGCTGCACCTTTGAATCCCACTTCAATAGCCCCCCCCCCATTCATGGGTGGCCTGTGCCCAGCCCTGAGAAACCCTCACAGTGATTGGCTGGCCTCCCTCCCTCCACTTAACAACGCTCAGGATCACTTTATGACCCCAGCCAGGACTGTGGGATTACGTTTAGGGAGTGAAGTGGCCACGTGGCCTCTCACATGACTACTGCTTCACTGAACAACCGAGATTGCAGCCCCAATTGTATTCATAAATTGAGGACTACCTCTAGCTTCAGAGCTTCTGTTTCACTTTGTCGTAGGACAAGAACCAGGAAGGTGGGAAGGGTAGGGAGAATAAACAGCAGGAAGAGGTTGCATCTGAGAGATGTGGGGGGACAAGATCTGTGGAGATTTTCTCTGGGGTGTACTGCAGAGGATCAGACTGGAAGACCTTCATGGTCCTTTCCAAGAGGACTAGCCTGTGATTCTCTACCTTTCTCAAAAGGAAAATTATTCTTCATTTTTATTTTTTTCAACAGAAATAAAATATTGTTTCCAAAGATTTATCTGCAAGCTGACATCAACAGAAATACAGGATGGAGCCTGGGAAACTCTCGGATCCCCCGTCAGACACAAGCAGCACGCCGAAAAACCACAAAAGAACCCATGAATGCTCAGAGTGTGGGATGTCCTTTGCTCGCAGATCCTTCCTTTTGACCCACAGGAAGGTCCATGTGGGAAGCAGATCCAGTCAGGATTTGGAGGGTGAGAAATCCTTTTCTGGAAAAGACACCAAAGATCCCAAAAGCCCCTCTAGACTAAAACCCTATAAATGTGAGGAATGCCACTTATGCTTTGGTCAAAAGTCACACCTTCTGACACATCAGAAAATCCACACTGGAGAGAAACCCTATCAGTGTCTGGAATGTGGGAAATCTTTCAGTAAAAAAGCCTATCTCAGAAAACACGAGAGAATTCACACAGGGGAGAAACCTTACAAGTGTTGGCAATGTGGGAAGAGCTTTCGTCGGAAGTCAGGACTTTGGATCCATGAGAAGTTTCATGCAGGAATAAAACCTTACAAATGCATTGAGTGTGGAAAAGGTTTCACCCAGAGTTCAGGTCTTCGGACTCATGAGAAAACACACAGAGGGGAGAAAAACGAAAAGTGCTTTGAATGCGGAAAATGTTTTTCCAGGAAATCAAACCTGGTGCAACACCAGAGAATTCACACCGGAGAGAGACCCTTTGAATGCCCAGAATGTGAGAGACGATTTATGTTTCATTCTCCGTTTCGGAGGCACCAGAAGGAGCACAAAAGGGAGAAACCCTATAATTGTGGGGAATGTGGGAAAGATTTTCTTACACAAAGAGAGCTTCAGATTCATGAGAGAATCCACACAGGGGAGAAGCCATACAGGTGTGTGGAGTGCGGTAGATGCTTTTCCGACAATGGACACCTTTTAAGGCATCAGAGTGTCCACACAGGAGAGAAGCCATACAGATGCGTAGAATGTGGGAAATATTTTAGATTAAAGGGAAACCTTTGGAGACATCAAAAAACCCACACAGGGGAGAAGCCATATCAATGCAACGAATGTGGAAGATTTTATAGCACCGCATCAGCCCTTAAAATCCATGTGAAAATTCACACGGGGGAAAAAGACTACAAATGTTTCGACTGTGGGAAAGCATTTGCTCAGTCATCTTACCTTATAATTCACAGCCGAATCCATACGGGAGAGAAACCTCACAAATGCTCAGAGTGTGATAAATGTTTTTCACAGAAAATTCATCTTGTGATACATCAGAGAATCCACACTGGAGAGAAACCACATAAATGTCTGGAGTGTGGGAAATGTTTTGCCCATTCTTCAACACTTCGCACGCATACCAGAACTCACACAGGAGAGAGGCCTCACAAGTATGCAGAGTGTTAGAAAAACTTTTCATTGTAAATCAAAGCTAAAAATGCATCAGAATGTCCATAGCAGAGATCTCTACCCTTTCAGTTGTGAACAATGAGGGAACTTTTTTTTTCAGAAGTCACACTTTATTGTTCACCAGGACCTTCACACAGTCCCAGAAGGGAAATCCTACAAATGTTTGGTATGGGGAAAGTGTTTTTTTCTAGTGAAGCAACCTCAAATACTAGACGAGAGTACACAATGAGGCAAAAGGGCGCAAGTGTTGGGGGTGTGAGAATGTTTTCCTCACAAAGCAGCATTAGTAACTTGCCAGAGTGATTACACAAAAGAGTTATAAATGTGTGAGTATGTATAATGTTTTGCAGAATACAGGTAGTCCTAAAGTTATGGCCACAATTTGGAATGGATTTCCAGCCATAAATTGCTTACAGTCCTAAATCAAGGCACCCAGGCATTTTTGTTAATTCTTACTAGCCGTTTGTGGATCAGTGAGGAGAACTGAAGATTCAGAGAGGAGAAAGTGGGGGTGGGGGCAATCAGGATGCATCCGGTTGCTTATTTAGTGATAATGTGTTGATGTTGAATATATGCTGGTTGAGGACAAAGATCGAAAGTTCCTTTTTCTGGGTGTTTCCCCACCACCACATCCTCTCTTTCCTATATTCACACACAGATATTTGCATTAGGTTTCTTGCTTTGATATGTGAATCTAATCCTTAATAAAATTATTGTTCAAAATCATCAAGAGGGCTGTTTTCAGGGAGATCAAAAAAAGTCCAGATGAGGTCAGATTGTGCCATGCTCTGCAGTCAAAGTCCTGCTGCTTTTTAGCTGTGTATGTGATGCCCTTCAAAACAGCCGCCATCTTGATCCTTTGGACTCCGCCCTTCCTCGCTGGAGACTTCGGACTTCAGGATTGAATTGAAGGACGTAGATTTCGGATGAACTTTGGGAAAAATGTCCTCATGGATTGGGATGGACCCCTGCCCTTAGGGGCGGGTCACTTGTGGCTATTTATATGTGCCTGACACACTCATGATGAAATGAACCCCATCTTACTTAGCACATACATCGTAGGTCACAAGAAGGGCGACTTTCAATTATATCATCAATTTAGTGTGAATTGTAAATTGATGTCACGTGTTTCATACAACCCCAAATTCATTTAATGCAGTGGTTCTTAACCTTTTTAATGCCGCGACCCCCAACCGATCATAAGTCGAGGACTACTCAACTGGTGCAGCACCGTTTGCAGAATGGGACTTTTGGCGGGCTCAGCAGGGCAGAGACAGCCTGGACAATTCCTATTGGCTTTTGAAAGCCAATAGAATTAGACTCTATTCAAGAGAGTCTATTCTATTGGCTTTCAAAAGCCAATAGAATAAAAGGGAGTAGCACAGCTAAGGAAAAGGGGGGAAAAAATGGCGGACTGCGTTGTTTGGCGACCCCCGTGAAATGGTCGTTCGACCCCAAATGGGGTCCCGACCCACAGGTTGAGAACCACTGATTTAATGTGAGGCTTGCGTGTGAGTCTTTGAAAGGGCTCATGATGAAGTGTCACCCAAGCATTACACCGGTGGCTATTACACACCATTCTAAGGCCTGAAGATATTTGCATTAAAAACTCCCAGGAGTTAAAATATTTACCATCTTGTTAAGAGAGAACACCAAAAAGAGGTCGTCTAGCAGCTGCCAAAAAAGGCAGCTGTAGATTGCTGGGACTTTGAAGTGTCCCTGTGTTGTTGGGTCCCACCCTGGGAGATGAAACACAGGCAAAATGTCCACAGCAGAGAAGCTGCCTTTATTAACCGACGGTCAAAGCCCTTTCCTGCCCCCATCCCTGAGGGTTGGATACGGAGGTGGAATGGATGAAGGCTGCAGAAAGCCAAGGAGATCCCTTCTTTGACCAAGAGCCATGGTCCAGCCCAGGAATGGATGAGGTTCCCTCTCAACAGGTAGAGGGATGAGAAGCTCAATGCACTGAGACAACGAGGGGCTCTTTGGCCAAAGCTGGTGGGAGGACCTTGGTATCCTCTGAGCTTTTCATTGCCCAACAAGGTAACATTATCAGCTCTAAGTAACATCCTTAGCAGTGATAATGTTACCCAGTTGAGTAATGAAACATCTGCAAGGAAACAACCAAACTCATAGAGCACACCAAAGGCAGTTCAACCCTGAGCTACAAACAATCCATTCTGGAGCTGAGGTCTCTTGGATCCTCCATCCTTGTCCAGCACATATGGCAGGATCCCCACAGAGAACAACGCAGCTGTCCGATCCAGTCTTCTTTTCCAAGCATCCTTCATAAAAGCTCCACTGTGGAGCAAGCAAAGTTCTTGTGTGGTTGAAGAAACACGTCCCTCTTGATTCCTTGGTGTTTCTGGTAGAGTCAGCATTACACTTGTGAGAATATGCTGCAATATTCAATTTACTGTGAATTGTAGATTGATACCAGGTTGGGTTTCATGTGACCCAAAATTCAGTTAATGTGATGCTTTCATGTGTGCAATTATGGCAACTTTGTGTACAGCTGCGGTTTTAACCGTAAATAAATCTAGTCCCAATCAACTCCACCTATCTGATCCGGGAGAGCCAGTTTGGCCTAGTGCAGGGGTAGGCAACCTCGGCTCTTTTATGACTCGTGGACTTCAACTCCCAGAATTCCCTAGCCAGCCATGCTGAGGGGAAAGGGAGAGGTTTCCAAGCTGAGCCACGCTGGCTCAGGAATTCTGGGAGTTGAAGTCCACGAGTCATAAAAGAGCCAAGGTTGCCTACCCCTGGCCTAATGTTTAAGGCAATGGGTTAGAAAGCCGGAGACCATGAATTCAAATCGTGACTCGACCACGAAAGCCAGCTGGGATCATTCACTCTCTCTGGCCCACCTCACAGGGTGGTTGTAAGGAATATAGGAGGAGGAAAGTATGTCGGAGGTGTTTGTTGCCTTGAGTTATTCATAAAAATAATATAGGTGGAATATGATAAAAGTAAAAAAATGAAATTAATTTTAATGGAGATTTTGTCTGGGGTGTATACTACAGGGTCAGACTAGAAGACCTTCATGGTCCCTTCCAAGACGAGGAGCCTGTGATTCTCTGTCTTGCTCAAAAGGAAATATTCTTCATTTCTATTTTTTAAAAAAAATAAAATATTGTTTCCAAAGATTTATCTGCAAGCTAACAATCAACAGAAATACAGGATGGAGCCTTGGAAATTCTTGGATCCCCCACCAGACACAATCAGCACTCTCAAATCCCACAAAAGAACCCACGAATGCTCAGATTGTGGGAAATCCTTTGCTTGCTGGTCCTTCCTGGAGACTTCGGAGTTCAGCATTGAATTGAATGACGTAGATTTCAGATGAACTTTGGGAAAAATGTCTTCATGGATTGGGATGGACCCCTGCCCTTAAGGGTGGGTCACTTGTGGTTATTTATATGTGCCTGACACACTCTTGATTAAATGAACCACTTCTTACTTAGGACATACATTGTAGGTCACAAGAGCCGCATTAGTAACTTACCTGAGTGTTTACACAAAAGAGTTATAAATGTCTGGGGAGTATGTATAATGTTTTGCAGAATACAGATAGTCCTAAAGTTATGGCCACAACTTGGCATGGATTTCCAGTCATAAATTCCTTACAGTCCTAAATCAAGGCACCCAGGCATTTTTGTTAATTCTTACTAGCCGTTTGTGGATCAGTGAGGAGAACTGAAGATTCAGAGAGGAGAAAGTGGGGGTGGGCTACAATTAGGATGCTTATTTAATGATAAAGTGTTGATGTTGAATATGTGCTGGCTGAGGATAAAGATCGAATGTTTCTTTTTCCTATTATCTTTTTTGGAGGGTTTTCTTTTTATCACACAGTTCAGCTCTTAGGAGACACGAGAAAACACACAGAGGGGAGAAAAATGAAAAGTGCCTCGAATGTGGGAAACGTTTTTTCCAGGAAATCAACCCTGGTCCGACACCAGCGACTTCACACTGGAGACAGACCCTATGAATGCCCAGAATGTGAGAGATCATTTGTGGATTCTTATCAACTTCAGAAACACCAGAAATGGCACAATGTGTATATAATGTTTCAAGAGTACAGGAAATCTTTGACGCATCAGCACAACTGGAAATGGATTTCTGGCCATACGTTGTTAGTCATAAGTCAAGGCCCCCAGATATTTTTATTATTTTTTTACTAGGCCTTTGTTGATGAGTGAGGAGAACTGAAGATCTGGAGAGGAGAAATCGGGGGTGGGGTACAACAAAGATGCATCCGGTTGTTTATTTAGTGATAAAATGTTGACGTTGAATATATGCTGGCTGAGGATGAAGATTGAATGTTTCTTTTTCTTACTATCTTTTTGGGAGGGATTTTCCCCCCTTTTTTTCACATTGTCTTTTGAGTATGTTCACACACATATACACACATATATTGACATACTGAACCTGTGTTGAGTTTCTTTGTTTGATGTGTGAATATAATCCTTAAAGTATTGTTCAAAATAACCAAGAGGACTGTTTTCAGAGCATGGACTGAGTCTAGATGGTGGTCAAATTTTGCCATGCTGTGCAGTCAAAGTCCTGCTGCTTTTTGATTAGGAACAAAGAGTCGCCATTTTGGATCTTTTCATCCTCCCTCACTGGACACTTCTGACTTCCAGGGTTGGATTCAAAGGTGTAGATTTTGGGTGAACTTTAGGAAAAATGTCCTGGGGATTTGGATGGACCCCCACTGTTAAGGGCGGGCCATTGGTGGCTCCCTACACGTGCCTCACACACTCGTGATTCAATGTACCACACCTTACAATGCATTCAGAAAATATTCAGACCCCCTTCACTTTTGTCAATTTTGTTATGCAGCAGCCTGATTCTACAGTTGAAATTCTTTTTTTCCCCCTCATTAATCTACACTCAGTACCTCATAATGACAAAGTGAAAACCAGATTTTAGAAATGTCTGTAAATTTTTTAAAAGAAAAAACTGAAATATCACATTGGCACAAAGTATTCATAGCCTTTGCTCAGTACTTTGTGGAAGCACCTTTGGCGTCAATTACAGCCTCCAGTCTTTTGGGGTGTGACGCCACAAGCTTTGCGTACCGGGATTGCGGGATGGGATGAGTATTCTCCAAAGTGCCTGAAGGCAGGTCAAGAAGCCAGATGGAAACTAATCAAGGAGAGAAACAACCTAGATCTAAGGAGAAACTTCCTGTCAGTTAGAACAATTAACCAGTGGAACAACCTGCCTCCAGAAGCTGTGAATGCTCCAACCCTGGAAGTTTTTAAGAAGAGACTGGACAGCCATTTGTCTGAAATGGTATAGGGTTTCCTTCCTGAGCAGGGGGTTGGACTAGATGACCTCATGAGTTTTAGCGATCCCCTGGATTGGGGGATTTTCTGCCATTCTTCCTTGCAAATGCTCTCAATCTTAAATTAGCTTGGATGGCTGCAGCGTAACAAAATCGACGAAAGCAAAGGGGGTCTTAATCCCTTCTGAGTCAACTGTAGTGGCTGATTGGTTCAGAAGCTGGGATCTACCCAACTCCTATTGGCTACGTGAGGGGTCTTCTGGCATCTTCCCTCCCCCTCCAAGCACAGGGCGGGGCCCCCTGTGAGCACCTTGATCCGGAGCCCTGGTTCCCCAGAGGCGCCTGGTTCCCTGATGCTCCTCAGGTCTTACGGAGGCTCTTTCCCTTCATGGATTTAAGGCTCTTTGGGAAGAAGGTCCAGTCCTGGGCTGCGCGGAAGGTCAAGTGAAACGAGGACAAAGATCCCCTTGTGTCACTTTCATGCTGCTAATTCCTCCACTCTCCCCCCCCCCCGCCCTCGTGTGAGCATTTCGCTCCTTCTGCCCACAAAGGGGGTTTCATTAGTCCTGGTTCCCCCCCCCCGTGGGGGTCTCTTCCCTTCCCAGCTCAAGGGAGAGCGGCTGAGTTTGGATCGATCCCCCCCCCCTTTCAGCCAAGAGCTCAGGCACAGCTGGAGATAGAGAGAGCCATGGAAGTTCAGTACAGGCAGCCATCAATCTGCCTCCATTTGATGTTATGACAAGACACTGCCTCCCCCCCAAAAGAGTACTTTATGACCCAGATCTAGATACATATTTATTCTCATTTATTTATTATCACATTTAGACACCATCCATCTCACAGAGCGAGTGAGTTGCCTTGTTGGGAATAACATCTCTCCATCTATCTGATTCTATGGCTCTCTTCTTGGAAGGGATCCCAGGAGATGCTTAAAACAGGCTCTTTGGGTAGCTGCCCAGCCTCACACAAACACCCACACAAACGCTGGAGCAGGAAGAGCTGCCCCGCTTCCAGCGGTCAGGGAGGGACGCTCTTCCCATGGGCAGAGGAAACCTCGACACCGGCGCCCATCGGAGGAGCAGAGGCGGTTTCGGAGCACGTGATCCTGGCTGGGAGGGGGGAAGAGGCGGCCTAGAGGCGGGGCTGCCAGGTGGAGGCGGAGCCCGAGAGGAGAGCAGAAGCCCCGCCTCCGCCTCTCTCCTCCCACTCGCTGGATTTCCGCTTCCCTCCGGCGCGTCCCGCTTCGCCCTGGGAGGATCGGCGCCGGATCCCTCGGGAGAGGCTTCTGCGTCTTACTTCGGGGAGGTCTGGCTGCTCCCCCTCCGGCTTTTGGGGCGCCCCTCCCGCCAGGAGAGCTTCCCCCCCCCGCCAGGAGAAAGGTAGCTGCGGATCCGCCTCTTCGGCTTGCCGGGTTTTCCTTGGGGAGATTCGGCTCTGGCGTCGCCTGCAGGGAGCGGATCCCTCCCTTCCCTCCAGGGGGGCAAAGGGGGATCCCTCTCTCCCCGGGCTGGATCTGCCCCCTCCTCGCCCAGCCAAGGTTCCCCGTGGGGCGGCGGGTGGATCCGGGAGGGAGCTTTTAGGGAAATTACTCCAGAAGGTCTCTCTGTGGTCCGCCAGAGCAGGAGGTCTCTGGCCATGCATATCCCGCAAGTGCGGCTACACAAATGGAGTAAACGGAGCTTTGAAACATTTAGTGAGATTTGTAATGGGATCTTAACACACATTGACCGCATTGCCACGGGGAGGGGAGGGTTTGGGGGGGGGGAAAGAAAATCAGTTTAAATTACTTGAATGGAGCTCATGTTGTCCTATCGCACAAAAGGGATCCTCTTTCTTTGTGCTCTGTCTAAAAGGCGAAAAATAAAATCCTTTGTTTTCAGGCTAATCTGTTTTTAAAACCTGGGTAGAATTTGTAAACTTTACATTTTCCTTGTTTTGTCCAGAAGAGCCTGTGATGTCTCAGCCCTTATTTTGCTGGATGTTTTCCAAAGGAAGTTTTGTAAGGCTGGTCTTGTGAGCAGGTAAAAAAACCAAGCTGATGGCCAAAAGGCTGCCTTTTCTAACTGTACATATTTTTGAAACACGTGTCTGGAAAGAGCAGCCCTTTTCCCACATGCTCTGCCGCATCTGATCTCTCTCATCCTTTGAGTTTTCCTACTCACAGCTCTGCCTCTCTCCCTGTTGGACTTGATCTTGCTGGTTTCTTCCATTTTGGCCCATCGAGATCATCTTGAATCAGGATTTTGTCTCCATTATTTTGTATTCTCAACAAATAATTCCATATTCTCCTCCCGCTTCCAGGTCATTTACAGATTATGTTCAGCATCTGAGCCCTTCTCATTTCTCTTTGCAGGAGACCAGTGAGGACCTGGCCATGAGGTCCACAGAGAAGGGCCGTTCTTGGATTGGGACCCACCAACCTTTGGCTGGGACTCCATAATAGAGATTTTGGAAATTGTGGCCCAGTTGGAGAAGCAGCTTTCTGCACAAAGGGTCAATGGATTAAGGAGAAATCAAACTGGTCAGCAGTGAGGGTCATCCCTGGCCTTGACTCCGAGGGGGGAACAGGTGACCGAGAGACTTCTTAGCTGCAACTTTAAAGGTGAGTAAATAAAATTTGATTAAATCTTAATTTGGAGAATAAGTGTATAGTTTTTAAATATTTATTTGACAAAACAAAATGCAATGAAATGGTGCTGGGTGAAGGCATAACTAAGTTCCATTAAGGACTTTACGTTGAGTGCGTTTGGTCAGCCAGTTACGAATCCATCTGGGGGTGATGCTGTGTGTCTCCCATTTTTCTATTTTGCCAAGAGGTCGGCTGTGGTCTACTTTGTCACATGCCTCACTGAAGTGTATTGTGTCCATGTAGTTTTACTGTTCCACTAATTTTGTCACTTAGTCAAAGAATTTAATACGTTTTTTTCTGCCATGATCTATTATTGACAAACCCATGTTGGCGTCTAGTAATAGCTTTTTTCGTTTGAAGGCTTTCACAGATCCATTTTCTTTTCTAGCATCTTTCCAGGTATTGATGCCAGCATGATTGATTTGTAGCTTCCTTGATCCATATGTTTCTTTTTGCTAGGATTTTATAAAATATACAAAATATTTCACAAGAAAGTCAGGATGAAGTCATGATGGGAGGGAGCTCATACGTGCAAAATCAGGAGAAGGAAGAAAGAAAAGAGAATCAGAAATGGGTGGCTTGGTTACTCTAGCACAGGGCTTTTCAACCATTTCACAGATTGTACTACTTTTAGGACATGACAATATTTGAGTACCACTGGTGCTTAGCAAGGTGTCAAAAACTTGATGACTAAAAGGGGGGGTTGGCTTTTACTGATTAGTTGTCAGAATCCAATTATATTTCATCTTTAGTTATCAAATATAGAAAACCCCAATTCTGCCTTCTCTGGATTCTGCCATAAGAGGGAGAGAAGGGGGAGAACAAAGGGGCTTTATGGCCCTCACTTCCTTCAGTATACTTCTAAGGACCTGAATGTGTGTATTGCAACTTCAAAGAGTTTGAATGTGGTTAGCACCAAAAGGCCTCATCATAACAAAGGAGGCTATTTACCTTTCATGTAGTTTATCTGAAGTCTCCATCCAGACGGAAGAAAGGAGAAAAGGGGGTGGGATTGTGATGCCTGAAACTGTCACTGGAAGAGGGCGGTGATTGGGTGGGACTACTGGGGAACCCCTTAAAACCTCGAATGGGAGAGCTTGAACCCCAAGTCCTGCCTAGAATGCCTGCAACCATTTTCTCTTAATAAAGGATCCCTGTTGGAAGAATTATTCCAAGAGTTCTGTCTTCTTAAGATGCAAAGTGGGGTGGGTCCTTACATTAGTTTTGTTATAGAAATGGCTAGTTTATAATATTATGAAAAAATAAAAAGTTGAGGTTCAATGTTAATGCTTCCTTCTACTGCAACAAAGGAAGTATGTTCCTTTTCCCTTCTCCCCCCCTTTTCCTCCCCACTGTCTCCTACTATTTGCTTTTGTACTTTTTTATTTTATTCTATAATCTAATAAAATATTATAAACCAGAAAAAAGTAAAAAAAGGAACCAGTTTTAATTTTTTCGGTGGCTGTTCCTTTGCTGAGTCCCCTTCCCTTTGCTGAATCCCCTTCCCTTTGCACTGGCAAATGTATGATGAATTTATCCATATTTATTCATATGCACCACTACCAGGTAGTTTGGGGGCCTTCAAACCTGGCAGTTTTAAGACTTGTGGACTTCAACTCCCAGAACTCCTTAGCCTTCATGGCTGGTTGAGGAATTCTGGGAGTCGAAGTCCACAGATCTTAAAGTTGCTAAGTTTGTAGACTCCTGAGCTAGCTGGTTGGCCCTTCCACAGTGTAGTAAGAATGCACACCCCCCCCCCCAATCCCTTCCCTGTACCCTCAAAGACACAGGAATCAAGTGCAAAGCAAGAAAATAAAGAAACACAAAACTCCCATCTTTTTTTTTTTCTCTTTAAACTGCCTCAGGCATGTCACGTGTCACAATGTTGCAATTCTAGACTGAAAGGTTCCAGCAATTAGGAAAAGCTTTAAATTAAGCCAGTTTAGCTTCAAAGAAAACTTTCTAAAAGCCACAGACAGACTTAATTAAAGGGGGTAAAACTAATTACATTTGTTTAAAGCAGTGTTTCTCAACCTTGACAATTTTAAGACATGTGGACTTCAACTCCCAGAATTCCACAGCCAGCAATGTTGGCTGTGGAATTCTGGGAGTTGAAGTCCACATGCCGTAAAATTGTCAAGGTTGAGAAACACTGCTTTAAAGGGATTAAACCTTTCCTGGTGTCTTTTATCCCCTTCCCCCCCCCCCAAAACCACTTCTCTCCCCCTCCCCTGACCTGCTTCTGGAAGCGGCAATCAGCTGGAGCCCAGACAGCCCTGCAGCTGCAGTTGCCTCTCCCTCAGCCTTGACTAGCGTTGGCTCATTCCCCTCCGCTGCTACACTTGGTTAGCAATCCCATACTCTTGTGGAAAAAGTAAAAGGACTTTAAAAAAATAAAGGACTTTTACGAATTCCAAAGGATGAAACAGAGAGATTTATTTGCTGCAAAGGTTCAGAAGCGATTAACAATCAGCAAATTTCTGAACAAGAGGAAGGTTCCAAACTACAATCGTTATAGCTCTCCCCTTTCTAAGGAACAAAGGGAGTTTTCATGGCATCGTACATTGTATATGGAATCGACGTTGTATAACATTCAGTTAGTTTCTCACATGTTAGGTTCATTTCTCACGGGAAGACAATAATGGCAGTTTTACTTATACAATCTTTGTAAATATGCATTAGGTCAGTTAACACAGCTTTTTGCTAACACGGCTTTCTTCCAGGAATTATGCAGACACATCATTTTGCTTTTAGTCATTTTTTTTCATTATCATCATCATTATTATTATACTTTATTCATTTTTATTCTATGTTATTCTGTTTCATTCCACTTTAATACCACCTGCCATGTGGCAAAGTACCACAAGTGGTAGCGTGCCACCGGTGGAAAAAGCCCTGGTCTAGCATGGCTGGCTCAGGAATTCTGGGGGTTGAAGTCCACGAGTCATGAAGAGGCCATAGTTTCCCTCATGCTGGCTCAGGAATTCTGGGAGGTGAAGTCCACGAGTCGTAAAAGAGCCAAGGTTGCCTAGCCCTGCACTAGACTGAAGTCTCTTTCCTCCTTGTAGTATTTTATAAAATATACAAAATATTGCAGGACCAAGTAGTCATGATAGGATGGAGCTGATAAGTGCAAAATCAGAAGAAGGAAGAAAGAAAAGGAAATCAGAAATGGGTGGCTTGGTTACACTAGCCCAGTGGTGGCGAACCTGTGGCACGCATGATGGTGAGGGACTGTAAACCATCTCAGCCTCATTGGATCTAAGTCTTTGGGCCCTGGAGAATTATTTTTCCAATGCCAAATGTCTCCTCGAGGCCTCTCGCTCAGCTGTTTTAGAGGGCTCCTTCTGAGAGATATGTTTTGTTTTGGCTTTTTTCTTCCCCCCCCCCCGATTCAGATTCAGTGGATCTGCACTTTGTTGTTGTGGGGCGGGGCATTCTGGAGCCCTGTGTAGCTGAATGCGAGACACCGTCTGCCATTGTGGACCAGATATACCGAGTAGGAAATATCTGGAGGTGGGGGGGGGGGAAACAAGTACGCAGACCAATGACAGAGATGGAAAGATCACAAACCTCGCTCTGTACAACGCAATGGCCGGACAGTATAAACACTATTAATAAAATCTCAAGAAATCCTAACAGTCCACAGTAACAGGTAAAAATCAGTAAATCACAAAAAATAACAATATCATCAGCGTATTAATTAGAGCTCGCTTAAGAATCAATCATCTGTTCTAAGGCAGTGGTGGCGAACCTATGGCACGCATGCCAGAGGCGCCACTCAGAGCCCTCTCTGTGGGCACGCATGCTGTGCTGCGGAGATGGCCAAGGACTGGCCCCTGCCACCGTGGCCCCGCCCACCCAGTCTGCCATGACCACTGTGGTCACGCCCACCCGGCACCCGTTGATAAATAAGTGGATTTTGGGTTGCAGTTTGGGCACTGGGTCTCTAAAAGGTTCGCCATCACTGCACTAGCCTGAAGTCTCTTTCCTTCTCTTATGTGATGCCTTAATTTTTTCCTGATTCCTATAGTTCATTCTGGACTGACTTACCCCAATTCGGACCGGATTCTTGGTCGTTGCGTGAAGGGGTCATTGAGATGTGACTTGGCTGCTTTGCTCAAACATTGCAATCCTGCGCTCATGGGCCTTGTTGGTGAGCAATTTCACGGGTCATTAAGCAGACAAAGTGTCAGGTAAGGAATCTTGGGTTGCCTTAAGTGGGCAGGAGAGGCCATGTGAGTGCTGGCACAGGGCATGTGTGAGTTGTGGGGGTCCTGAAGAAGCTTAGAGATGCTTTGGGACACGTTGCTTGGAAATATGTATGGAACATGCGTCTTAGAGAATGGCACAAGGCTGCAAAGGCCTCCGGTCTTGGGATTAAGGCATTTCTCAGTAGCAATGGTGACACTGGGCTGAAGTCCAGTCCTGGGGTCAGTGGCAGCTGGCTGAAATGGCTGAGGGCCCCAGGCCTCCACTTAAGGCCCAGGCCAGCCCAGCATTGCTGTCCATCAGGATTGTTTTTGCATACTCAGGCTGAGAGAGCACAGACTTTTAGAGGGGGAGGAGCTTTACATCCCACTTCAGCAGCCCCCAACTCATGGGTAACCTGTGCCTGATCCCCAGGACCAGCCCCATCCCCAAGGCACCCCTACAACCATTCCTTAGCCCTCCCTCCACTTAGAAACCCTCAAGATTACTTAAAGATTGCAACCAGTGTGTGGGATTACACTTGTGGAGAGACGTGGTCACGTGACCACTCACCACTGCTTCACCAAAAGACCAAAATTCCAGTCCAACTGTGGTCGTAAGTTGAGGACATCCCTCCTAGAGATGTGGGGGTCCCATCATGGGAGATTTTGTCCCATGATGGGACAAAGTACCTGGGCAGAGGGCGGTACTGGAAGACCTGCATGGTTAAGATTTTTTGTTTTCTGAAATGGAAATAATATTCTCCCTTTCTTTTTCTTTCTAACACTAGATCAAAGATTGTGACCAAAGATTTACCTGCAAGCCAACTATCAACAGTTAGTAGAAATTCATCCCAAGGCAGCAAGCGCCAGAAAGGATGGAGCCTGGGAAACTCTTGGATCCCCTGTCAGACACAAACAGCACTCCGAAAAACCACGAAAGAACCCATGAATGCGCAGAGTGTGGGAAATCCTTTGCTCACTACTCCCTCCTTTTGACCCACAGGAAGGTCCATGTGGGAAGCGTCTCCAGTCAAAGTTTGGAGGTTGAGAAATCCTTTTCTATAAAAGAAACCAAAGATCCAAAAAGCCCCCCTACCCAAAACCCCTATAAATGTGAGGAATGCAACTTATCCTTTGGTCGAAAGTCACGCCTTCTTAGACATCAGAAAATCCACACCGCAGAGAAAGCTTTTCAGTGTCTGGAATGTGGGAATTTTTTCCGTGAAAAATCCAGTCTCAGAAACCACGAGAGGATTCACACAGGGGAGAAACCTTACAAGTGTTGGCAATGCGGGAAGAGCTTTTCTCAGAACGCAAGTCTTTGGGCCCATGAGAAGATTCATACGGGAATAAAACCTTACAAATGCTTTGAGTGTGGGAAATGTTTCGCCCGGAGTTCAGGTCTATGGAGTCATGAGAAAACACACAGAGAGGAGAAAAAAGAAAAGTGCCTCGAATGTGGTAAATATTTTTCCACGAAATCAAATCTGCTTCAACATCAGAGACGTCACACGGGAGAGAGACCCTATGAATGCCCAGAATGTGAGAGACGATTTGTGGATTCTTCAGAACTTCACAGACACCAGAAATGGCACAAAGGGGAATTATCCTATAAATGTATGGAATGTGGGAAAAGTTTTATTTCGCCAGCCCATCTTCAGATTCATCAGAGAATCCACACAGGGGAGAAGCCATACAGGTGTGTGGAGTGTGGGAAATGCTTTTCCCAAAAACAAAACCTTGGAAGCCATCAGAGGTTCCACACAGGAGAGAAGCCGTACAGATGCCTAGAATGTGGGAAATGTTTTGGACACCAGGGGAACCTTTGGAGCCATCATAAAACCCACAGAGGGGAGAAGCCATATCAATGCAATGAATGCGGAAGATTTTATAGCACCACCTCAGCCCTTAGAAGTCATGCGAAAATTCACACGGGGGAAAAAAACTACAAATGTTTCGACTGTGGGAGAGCATTTGCTTATTCATATTCCCTTATAAGTCACAGCCGAATCCATACAGGAGAGAAACCTCACAAATGCTCGGAGTGTGATAAATGTTTTTCACGGAAAGATACTCTTGTGATACATCAGAGAATCCACACGGGAGAAAAACCATATAAATGTCTGGAGTGTGGGAAATGTTTTGCCCATTCTTCAACACTTCGCACGCACACCAGATGTCACACAGGAGAGTGGCCTTATAAATGTGTAGAGTGCGAGAAAAATTTTCAGTGTAGATCAAAGCTAAAAATGCACCAAAAAGTCCATAGCAGAGATAAATCTCCTCAGTTGTGAACAATGTTTTTCAACAGTCACACCTTAAGGTTTACTAGGAACATCACACAGTCCCAGAAGGGAAATCCTACAAATGTTTGATGTGAGAAAAATATTTTTTCTAGCGAAGCAGCCTCAAATACTAGGAGAGAGTACACAATGAGGCAAAAGGGCGTAAGTGTTGGGAGTGTGAGGATGTTTTCCTCACAAAGCTGCATTAGTAACTTGCCAGAGTGATTATACAAAAGAGTTATAAATGTGTGGGTTATGTATAATGTTTTGCGGAATACAGGTAGTCCTAAAGTTATGGCCACAACTTGGAATGGATTTCCAGTCATAAATTGCTTACAGTCCTAAATCAAGGCACCCAGGCATTTTTGTTAGTTCTTACTTGCAGTTTGTGGATCAGTGAGGAGAACCGAAGTGTCAGAGAGGAGAAAATGGGGGTGGGGGCAATTAGGATGCACTCGGTTGCTTATTTAGTGATAAAGTGTTGATGTTGAATATATGTTGGCTGAGGATAAAGTTCGAAAGATGATTTTTCCTACTATCTTTTCTTCAGGGTTTTTTTTTTTCCCCCACATCCTCTGTTTCATATATTCACATACAGATAATTTGTCTTAGGTTTCTTACTTTGATCTGTGAATCTAATCCTTAATAAAATTATTGTTCAAAATCATCAAGAGGGCTGTTTTCAGGGAGTTCAAAGAAAGTCAAGATGGGAGTCAGACTGTGCCATGCTCTGCAGTCAAAGTCTGCTGCTTTTTAGTTGTGTATGTGATGCCCTTCAAAACAGCCGCCATCTCGATTCTTTTGACTCTGCCCTCCCTCGCTGGAGACTTCGGAGTTCAGCATTGAATTGAAGGATGTAGATTTCGGATGAACTTTGGGAAAAATGTCCTCGTGGGTTGAGATGAACCCCTGCCCTTAAGGGCAGGTCACTTGTGGCTATTTATATGTGCCTGACACCCTCCTGATGAAATGAACCCCGTCTTACTTAGCACATCGTAGGTCACAAGAAGGGCGACTTTCAATTATATAATCAGTTTAGTGTGAATTATAAATTGATGTCATGTTGCGTTTCATACAACCCTAAATTCGTTTAATGTGAGCTTTGTGTGTGTGTGTCTGGGTGTGTGTACTTTAAAGTGCTCATGATGGAGGGTCACATAAGCACTACACCAGTGGCTATTACAGACTACTCTAAGACATAAAGATATCTGAATTAAAAACTCCAAGGGGTTAAAATATTTACCATCTAGTGAAGAAGCAACACCAAAAAAGTCTTCCAGCATCTATCAAAGAAAGGCAGCTGTAAATTGCTGAGTCATAACAGGAACTCTAAAGTGTCCCTGAGTGGTTGGTTCCCACCGTGGGAGATGAAACACAGGCGAGATCTCCACAGCAGAGAAGCTGCCTTTATTTACCTATGGTCAAAGCCCTTTCCCAGCCTCCTCCCTGAGCGTTGGATATGTAGGTGGTGGATGAAGGCTGTAGAAAGCCAAGGCTTAATGCTTCCTAGGAGACCCCTTCTTTGATTGACAACCACAGTCCAGCCCAGGAGTGGATGAGGTTTCCTCTCAACTAATGCTGGGATGAGAAGTTCGATGCACTGAGACAACAAGGGGCTCTTTGGCCAGAGTTGGTGTGGGGACTTTGGTGTCCTCTGAGCTTGGCTGTTTCTTTGCAGACATTTCATTACCCAACTAGGTAACATTATCAGAGGTGGATCACATTGTTAGCAGTGATCATTTTACCTATTTCGGTAATGAAACATCTGCAAGGAAACAACCAAACTCATAGATTACAGTCCAGTGTTTCCCAAACTTGACAATTTTAAGGCATGAGGACTTCAACTCCCAGAATTCCACAGCCAGCAACGCTGGCTGTGGAATTCTGGGAGTTGAAGTCCACATGCCTTAAAATTGTCAAGTTTGGGAAACACTGGATTACACCAAAGGCAGTTCAACCCTGAGCTACAAACAATCCTTTCCGGAGCCGAGGTCTCTTGGATCCTCCATCCTTGTCCAGTGTTTTTGGCATGGTCCCCGCAGAGAACAACACAGGTGTCCGATCCAGTCTTGTTTTACAGGCATCCTTCATAAAAGCTCCACTGTGGAGCAAGCAGGTTTCTTGTGTGATTGAAGAAACACATCCCGCTTGACTCCTTGGTGTTTCTGGTAGAGTCAGCATTACGTTTGTGAGAATATGCTGCAATATTCAACTTAGTGTAAATTGTAAACTGATACCAGGTTGTGTTTCATGTGACCCAAAATTCAGTTAATGTGAGGCCTTTATGTGTGAAATTATGGCAGCAGTGTGTACAGCGGTGGTTTTAACCATAAATAAATAAATCTAGTCCCAATCAACTCCACCTATCTAATCCGGGGAGCCAGTTTGGCCTAGTGGTTAAGGCACTGCGCTAGGAAGCAGGAGACCATGAGTTCAAATCATGACTTGGCCACGAAAACATCTGTGGTCAGTCACTCTATCTAGCCTACCTCACAGGGTGGTTGTGAGGAATATAGGAGGGGGAAAGTGTTGGATGTGTTCGTTGCTTTGAGTTATTCATAAAAATAATGTAGGCAGAATGTAAATAAGAGATGTAAAAGAATAAACTTAATTTTGCTCTGCAGTGTGTCTTAGCAGCCTTTCCAGGCCTGTTTTCCCCTCTCAGCTGCTGAGCTACAATATAGGCAGTCCTCGACTTACGACCACAACTGAGCCCAGAATTTATGTTGCTAAATGTGAAATTGGTTAAGTGAGTTTTCGACCTATTTTAGGACTTTTCTTGCCACATTGGTTAAGTGAATCACTGCAGCTGTTAAATTAGTATTACCATTGTGAAAGGAATCTGGCTTTCCCATTGATTTTGCTTGTCAGGAGGTCCCAAAAGGCACACTGGGACGCTGCTGCAGCTGTCATCAATATAAACCAATTGCCAAGCAGCTCAATTTTTGATCAGGTGACCGTGGGGGTGCTGCAACGGTCGTGTGAAAAATGGTCCTGTGGTGGCGAACCTATGGCACGCATGCCATAGATGGCACACGGAGCCATCTCTGGTGGCACACGAGCCATTGCTGGGCCGAGCTGCTCCCTCCTTCTCTCCGCGCATGCGCAGCCTGGGAATAGGCAAGAGGCTATAAAAGGAGCAACTTTTTGCGAAGCAGCATTTGCTGCAGAGTTAGAGAGTGAGCACAAGTCGGGACAGCAAGCGAGTGAGCAAGCAGGAGCTGACAGCTCGGCCACGCCCACTTGGTGGCCATGCCCACCCAGCACCCGGCCATGCATAAGTGGGTTTTGGGTTGCAGTTTGGGCACTCGGTCTCTAATTTGATCTGTCAGTAAATCAACTGTTGTAAGTCAAGGACTGGGCTATTCCCTCAGACCCTCCTCTTTCCTGTCCTTCGGGCTCTGGGGGTCAGGACACGACCAACCCAAAGAGTCTGAGACTCTGCAGAACCCCCCCCATCCTCATGGTCTTAAGAGACCCCCCACCCAATTTATATTCTCAGGATGGAGGGCCATTAGGTAACCTCTGCACAGGCAGCTGTTGTACAGATCGCTGTAAGATGTGAAGCTGTTTGGATTAAGACCACCTGGATGGAGAATTCAATATTTATTATCCAGTTGGGAGGAAAGAGCAATAAAGCCTTTTAGCAGGTGTAAAAAGTTAACTGTATATTTGCTACTTTGAACGGAGTTCCTAAACATAACAAGATATAAAAAGGTATCATCTATCTGGCCTCATTCCAGAGCTGAGGTCTCTTGGATCCTCCATCCTTGTCCAGTGGGTTGGGCATGATCCCCACAGAGAACAACACAGGTGTCCGATCCAGTCTTCTTTTTCAAGCATCCTTCATAAAAGCTTCACTGTGGAGCGAGCAGATTTCTTGTGTGATGGAAGAAACACGTGTCTCTCTTGACTCCTTGCTGTTTCTGGTAGAGTCAGCATTACATTGGTGAGAATGTGGTGCAATATTCAATTTAGTATAAATTGTACACTGATACCAGATTGTGTTTCATGTGACCCAAAATTCAGTTAATGTGAGGCCTTTATGTGTGCAATTATGGCAACTGTGTGTACAGCTGTGGTATTAACCATAAATAAATAAATCTAGTCCCAATCAACTCCACCTCTCTAATCTGGGAGAGCCAGTTTGGCCTAGTGCAGGGGTAGGCAACCTCGGCTCTTTTCTGACTCGTGGACTTCAACTCCCAGAATTCCTGAGCCAGCATGGCTCAGCTTGGAAACCTCTCCCTTTCCCCTCAGCGTGGCTGGCTCAGGAATTCTGGGAGTTGAAGTCCACGAGTCATAAAAGAACCAAGGTTGCCTACCCCTGGCCTAGTGGTTAAGGCACTGGGCTAGAAAGCCGGAGACCCTGAGTTCAAATCGTGACTTGGCCACGGAAGCCAGCTGGGGTCAGTCACGCTCTCTATCTGGCCCCCCTCATAGGTTGGTTGCGAGGAATATAGGAGGAGAAAAGTGTGTTGGGTATGTTAGTTGCTTTGGGCAGGGGCGGGGGCGAGGACGGGAGGCGGAGCCCAAGAAAACAGAAGCCCCGCCCCCGCCCTCCCACTCGCTGCATCTCCACTTCCCTTGGCGTTTGCCGCTTCGCCCTGGCAGGATCGGCGCCGGATCCCTCGGGTGAGGCTTCTGGGTGTTACTTCGGGGAGGTCTGCTCTCCCTCCGGCCTGTGGGGCGCCCCTCCCGCCAGGAGAGCTTCCCCCCCCTCGCCAGGAGAAAGGTAGCTGCGGATCTGCCTCTTCGGCTTGCCGGGTTTTCCTTGGGGAGATTCGGCTTTGGCGTCGCCTGCAGGGAGCGGATCCCTGCCTTCCCTCCGGGGGGGGCAAACGGGATCCCCCCCTGGGCTGGATCTGCCCCCTCCTCACCCGGCCGAGGATCCCCGTGTGGATCC